CTCCCCCAACTATTTACTTATTTATGTATGTATTTATTTATTTTTGAGACAGGATCTCCCTACATGTAGCCCCAGCTGGCCTGGAACTCGCTATGTAGACTTCAAACAAGACATTCATTCATCAAAAGTCCATAATCATTTACTGAATAAAAGGTAACTTTTCAGGTATTAAAGGTGAAACCCACTTCTCTTCCCCCACCTTGGCCCTGCTTGAGTGTCCTTTTCTATGTATAATTAAAGGTAGTAACTACATGTCTCCATTATTTGGTTATGTGAATTTCAAGTCAACTTGGAAGATTTCAGTGTATTTTATTTACATTGTTTCCAAGTAACTCACCATAACTTGCATTTTGTATACTGTTAAGCTGTCCTACATTTCCATTGGTGATAATAAAAATAATTACCGGACTGGGTGTAATGATTGTGGAAGGGCTGATAGTGTTCAGCATGTACAATTTATTGCTCTTTTGGTATGCTTTATTTTTCTATATTACCTCTGTGTGTGTGTGTGTGTGTGTGTGTGTGTGTGTGTGTGTGTGTGTTAGTTTGTGTGTTTTTGGGATTGTGCTCACTATTTTTTTTTTTTTTGTTTATTATCTCTCTCTCAGGTATGTGTGTGTGTGTGTGTGTGTGTGTGTGTGTGTGTGTGTGTGAGTTCATGTGTATTTGGTATTGTGATTGCTAAAGATTCTTTTTTGGATTATTAGAAACCTCAGTCTACCAAACTTACAGCCTTTCATCATAATGTTGCTAATAATGTATGCTAATGTAACAGGGCTGTGTTTCAGGAATGTATTTAAGGATGCAGTCTCCCAGCAGAAAAATGATCAGCAAAAACCATAAGGCTGCTTAATCAATAGCTCCTTTAGAAACCCACTGCTACTCCAGCTATTAGACTCCTTGTTTCTAGATGTTCTTACTCCTGAAGCAACTGGAATTGGTTTGCTTACCACTGTTGTGGGCATCTGTGATTTGGAAATTAGCACTCAGTGCTTGTGAAGCATGCCTGAAGAACCTGTGTGGATGGCTGTGCTGAACAAACACAGAAGGAAGCAGGAGGTGGGCTGAGTCCAGAGCTCCAGTGAGGAGACAATGGGCCCTTCTCTTATGTGGAAGTGCTTTCCCAGGATCACAGTTTGGTAAGAGGCAGCCCCAAGATGCCAGAGAGAACACTGGCTCCAGGCAGCACTTCTCCTGCATATGGTGAGGCCACTGTGTGAAGCATCTTGGGAAACTTGAAGAGATGACTCTGCTATTAAGCCTGGGTAAACATGGCAAGGATAATACTAATGACTTTGGTAACAGTTGAGAACTGACTTTGTGCTGAACATCCACTTGCATTATTGCATTCAGTTCTCACAATAACTATTAGAAGCAGGAACCGTGATGTCCCCATTTTACATATAAGACTGCTGAATCTCAGAAACAAAGAGCATATCCAAGGTCTCAGACTTAATGAATGGAGAATCTGGACTTAATCTTAGCCTGGGTCCAAAGTACATGCTCTTTTCTCCCACTAAAACTATGGAAAAATACATGTAATATTATTTTTACAATTTTATTTTTCAAAGATTTTAATTTTATCTGAGTGTTTTGCCTGCATGTGCCTATGTGTACCATGTGCATGCCTGGTGCCTCTGGAGGCCAGAAGAGGGCACTGGATTCTCTGGAACTGGAGTTAAGGATGGTTGTTAGCCACCATGTAGGAACTGAACCCAGTTCCTCTGGAAGAGCAGCCAGTGCTCTTAACCACCGAGTCATTTCTCCAGCTTCTATTTTTACAATTTTAAAGAGTGCAGTTTGGTGGCATTTATCAAATTGATGATTTTCTGAAACTACTACTGCTTTTTATTTTCAGAACATCTCCATTGTCCCCAAAGGAAAACTTGTCCCCTTTAGGTAGCTACTTTCCAACATCCTCTATCCTATCTCAGGCAATCACTAACTTGCTTTTTGTTTCTATGGTGTTAAGGTTTGACGCTGAAATGTCCCCCATAAGCTCATGGTTTAAATGCATGTTTGCACGTTCTTCAGCTGATAGTGCCTGCCATTTTAGGAGGCTATAGAACCTTTAGGAGGGAGGGCCTACATGGATAAGTCCTTGGGAATGGGCAGATGTTATCCCTACCTGATTCCTGTTTCGCTCTCTGCTTTCTTGGTCCAGGATGATGTGAACAGCCTCCACCTCACACTTTCAACAGCATAAATTGAACTGATCACCATGCCTTCCTTGTCATGACAGACTGAAATCTTCAAATACTGGGAGTCAAAATAAATTTTTGCTTCCTTAAGTTGTTTCTGCCAGGTATTGTGGGCACAACAATGGGAAAGTAATTAATACATACGGATTTGCCTATTCTGGAAATTCATAAAAATGGATCACTCTGTGGCCTGTCACATCTAACTAGCACAATGTTCCAAGGTTCACCTAATGCTGTAGTATGAATTGATACTTTATTCTTTTTTTTTTTTTTTTTTTTTTTTGTCTTTTTGAGACAGGGTCTCCCTGTAGCCCCAGCTGTCCTGGAACTATGTAGACCAGGCTGGCCCCGGACTCACAAAGATCCACCTGCCTCTGCCTCCCAAGTGCTGGGACTAAAGGTGTGCACCACCACTCCCGGCCCACTACTTTATTCTTTTTATGCCCAACTAATAAGTGGCTGTACCCCATTTTATTTATCCAGTCACCAGTTAACTCACATTTGAATTACTTCTATGGTAAGCAGTGCCTCTGAGAATACTTCAAGTTTTTAAGTACTTGCTTTCAACTTTGGCTGAAAAGTACAGGTATTATAATCTCTATTAATTCAAAGAAGGAAATGACCAGGTATCTTAAAATCTTCATTCAACAACTATTTACGGAGAACCTACTGTACAGCCGCCTGCATGTTAAGTCCTGGGAACACAAACCGCAAACTGCAATTTGAGACAGAAATCACCCTTGACTTCCTTGGACAGAAAAGTCGATTGAGTCAAACTCAGACATTGTAGCACTTAGATTTAATTATTCTGTTCACATGTGACATGAGGTGGGGGACTACTTGGGGGAGAATGGGACCAGCGAATAAAGGTGCTTGCCACCAAGCTTGATGACCTTGAGTTCAAACCCCAGATCCCACATTGGTGGAGAGAACCACCTCCTGAAAGCTGACTTCTAATGTCCACACCCACATTGTGGCATGCCTCCTACCCCCAAAATAAGTAAGTGGGGAAAAAAATTAAGTTGCCAAAGAAAAAATTCCCTTTCCACTTGGTACTCAAAGTCAACGCTGGTTTTGAAGCACTCAGCCGGATGCTTTTGGATGTAAGAAACACAACTAAGCGTAGTTTAAACAAATCTGGGGCAGGGGGGCTCCCGGGTGGGCTGTCCCTCTGCATCATCAACCATCCAAGCTTTCTCCACTCGTATAGTCAAGGAAGCAACTCCAGACATCAAGATTTCTTCACGTACAAGAACCAAATCACAGACTCCTTTTCAATCATCTTTTAAAGTGCAAGAAAAAACATTTCCCGGAATCCCCCCGCCCCCCGCCCTGTTCCGCTCCATTTTCCGCCCTCCCCAGTCCTTAGCAATGCTGATACCGGAAGGAAGATACTTCTAGTGAACAGTTGAAGATGAAGACTGAGGTTGAAAAGGGCTCCATGACTCTGTGGCCTGCGGCCATCAGGTGCTTGAACAAAACAAATTGCGAGAGAGAATGGCTGCAGGATGGGCAGCCAGGAGCCACCTCCACCACGCTGCAAAAGTTGCTGGAGGAAGCCCTTAGGCCAGGGTTCTCCTCTGAGTTGCAGGCCTTGGTTGAATGTCGCAAATGAAAAATAAAGGGCTGAGGGCTGGAGAGCTGGCTCAGCTCTAAGAGCATTTGCTACTCTTGCAGAGGACCCAGGTTCCATTCCCAGCACCCAATGGCAGCTAACAACGGTCTATAACTCCACTTCTAGGGGATCCGAAGCCCTCTTCTGATCTCCGTAGGCATTGCACCACGGAGGTGCACTTACATACATGCAGGCAATATATACTCATACACATAAAATTAAAATGATAAAACATTAAAAAAAAAACACGAAAAACAAGGGGCTGGAGAGAGGGCTAAGAGCGCCTGCTGTTCTTGCAGTGGACTTGGGTTTGGTGCCCAGCACTCACAAGGCGGCTCACACCCGTCAGTAACTCTGGCTCCTGGAGATCCGATGCCTTTTTCTGGCCTTCGTGGGTACCAGGCAGGGACGTGGTTGCACATAGGTACACACAGGCAAAACACTCATACACATAACATGAAAGCAAGTCTTAAAAAAGTGAAAAAGGACCCTAAACCTCACGTGTTCAAACCCGAAGTCGTGATTCTCATCAAATTGAAACTTGTCTCTTCCAGGAGTCTATTTCTTTGAGCTTGAATATGCTGTGCTCTCTCCCATCCCAAGACCCCTGCATTTGATCTTCTGCCCGTGGCCCCCTTCTCCGCTGGCCCCCTTCTCCACTGGTCCCCTTCTCCCCTGACCCCCTTCTCCGTTGGTCCCCTTCTCCCCTGGGCCCCTTCTTTAACTGTCGGTACCTAACTCACATCTTTCCAAGCTTCGTGATTAGGCCAGGTCCCTGTGATGTATGACGACTCAGAACACTGCCTCTTTTAGCCCTCTGCCTCAGTCTACCGACTCTGAAAACACCGGCCTCTCCTCCAGCTTCACGCTAAGTGCTCAATACGCAGGCGCTAAATGGCTGGTGCCTAGATAACCTTCAGTGAAGTGAGGCGGATGAGGAAAGAGGACCTGCTCCCAGAAGGAGCCCACGGACGCCCTCACGTCCACCCTAGCACCCGGGACCCGGCCTGTAGCCTGTAGCCCCGCCCCTCGGTCCCGCCTCCTCCCCCGCCAAGCCAGAGGGGGCGGGGCAATAGGGCGCATGACGTCACAGAAGTCGGACGCTGATTGGACGTTGGGAGACGCCGGCCGGGCCAGGGGCGTGTTCACGTGCGCTGATTGGCTGTGGCGCGCCGGGGGGCGGCAGCCGACCGCAGGGCAGGGAGGGCGGCGGCGTGCGGCATGGGTCCTCGCCGCCGGCTTCGCTGAGTCTCGCAGGTCCGGGCTGCCCACCGCGGGCCCGCAGCGGCGGCGTCATGAAGGGCGCCCTGGGGAGCCCGGTGGCCGCCGCGGGCGCCGCGATGCAGGAGACGTTCGGCTGCGTCGTGGCCAATCGCTTCCACCACCTGCTGGACGACGAGTCGGACCCATTCGACATCCTACGCGAGGCCGAGCGCTTTTTTTCGAGCGGGGCCCTCCGCGGTGGCAGGAGCCCGGCCGGGGCCTCGGGCCACCGAGCTGGCGCGGGCGGCCGCAGGGAGTCCCAGAAGGAGCGCAAGAGCCTCGCGACGCCCAGCGCACAACAGCCAGACAGCCCAGGGGGCGGACCGCAGCCTCCGGGTACGCATCGGACGGCGTGGGAGAGGGATAGGACGGACCGGGCACCGAGGTTACAGCTCCAGCTGCAAGGCCGGGGGCTTTGGGACCCGTCTCGGGGGGGGCCTGCCCCGTGGAGGGGCCGGGGTCGCACCCCCCGGACCAATGCGTTCCAGGTCGGGAGAGTGGACAGAGCCTAGGTTCCTAATGGGCAGGGGACCCTGGGGTCACCTCTGAATGCCCATTCCGACGCAAGGTCCTGGGTTCACAACACTGGAACCCAGGCCTGCACAACTTTGCAAAGTTGTTGAGGCAACCTGGGGGTCACGAGGCCGGGATCCCCAGTTCTGCAAGCTGGAGGCTGCTTCTATCTTCCCGGCCAGCCTTTGCGGGATTCAGGTCTGTAGGCGACGCGAGATGGGATCCTGCCGGGGTCGGGACTCGGGGGCCTTGAAGATGCGGGGAGGCCTGGGCAACCCGAGGGTGCTGGCAGCCGGTGACTTGAGGCCCAATCCCGGGGCAGGTGGGGTGGGCGCCGAATCCCCGGCCTGTCTCTTCTTTCCATCCCCAAATGCTGTCAGCTGGGGTAGTTGCGGTTGGAGCAGGTGGCGTGGGTGGGATGTGTAACGTGATTAACCCAAGGCTGTTTCGGGAGAATAGGTTTTAACCTTTGCAGTGGGAATGTTCAAAGTTCCCCTCCCAGTTTAGCGGAAGGGCGGGCCGGCAGCTGGGTGGGCTGTCTGCGCGTAGGAGGCTGATTCAGACTTGATTGGCTGTCACCTGGACTGTCTGGGCCACAGCAGCCTAACTCCAGTCACCTGCTTGCCCCATTTTTCCGTAATAAGGCGGTGGTGGATAGGTTGATGAGTGTTGAGATTAAGGACTGTAGTCTGAGCGCTGGGTGGGCAGAGGGTTCAAGTAGGCTTGATTGCCTTATCCCTTGCTTGAGAAAAATTGGGCATTCCACTCCCTAGCTTTAGTTCTGAGTCTTTGATTTACACAACTGGTAATGTGATGTACTGTTATCTGTAACATAGTTAAGACATTGCTTGAGAATAAAAAAAGCAAGTCATTGCAATAAAGTTGAGATTATAAATGCTCTAGGGTGGTAGGACTCTTTAAACGTTTAGCTGGTCGTGGTGGCGTAGGCCTTCAATCCCAGCACTCGGGAGGCAGAGGCAGGCGGATCTCTTGAGTTCAAGGCCAACCTGGTCTACATAGTGAGTTCCAGGACCGCAGGACAGCTGGGGGTAAAGGGAGACCCTGTTTCAAAAAAACCAAAAAAAAAAAAAAAAAAAAAAAAAAAAAAAAAAATTGAGATGAACTGTGTTATACATTTTGTATTATGTGTTTCTCTTAAATGTAGCTAGAAAAAATAGGAAGATAAGAATTGAGAAGGGCCAAGGTTTTTCTCTCCATTTACTTAAAAAAATTTTTTTTTTTAATCTTTGAGACAGAGTCTTCCTGTAGCCCCAGCTGGCCTGGAACTCACTATGTAGACCAGGCTGGGCTCGAACTCACAGAGATCCGCCTGCCTTTGCCTCCCAAGTGCTGGGATTAAAGTCATGCGCCACCACACCTGGCCATTTACTTTAACAAGCGACAATATTGTCACCTTCAGAAGACTACCAAACTGCAATTACTAATAAAATATTGACTTTTAGTCCTGAAATTAAAATATATTTTTGTTATGGTGAAGGGCTCATGCATGCTGGGCTAGTGATCTACCGCTGAATTTGAACCCTCAGCCCTTGTTATGGAAATTATTTATTCATTCATTTGGCTTTTTGAGACAGGTTCTCCCTGTAGCCCCAGCTGGCCTTTAACTCATTATGTATACCAGGCTGGCCTTAATCTCACAGAGCTCCCCCTGCCTCTGCCTCCCTAGTCCTGGGATTAAAGGTGTGTGCCACCACATTTAACTGTTAGGGATATTTAAAATGATCTCGAAAATGTATAAAGTTAAGACCCCTTATGTTTCCTACTATTCATAATGAGTTTATGTGCCTAAGTTTATATAATAAAAGCATAGGTGGGGCTGGAGAAGGTTTAATCAGTAAAATGCTTGTCTGGCAAGCATGAGGATCTGAGTTCATCCCCACCTAAGCCCCAGTTCCCAGAGAAGGTCAGTCTCAAAAAATAAGGTGAGTGGTTTCTGAGATGTGAATACCCAGGTTGTGTTCATGTACACACACACACAACACACACACACAGAGACATATACACACACACAGTGCTTGCTATTTCCTTTCTTACAACTCACTTCTACTTGGAACTGTAAACTAGATTTTTTTCCCTGTCGGTTCAGGGTCTAGGCAATCTGGCTTTTGAGGTCTATGGTAAATTTTGTAGTTAGAATGGAAATTTTGTCATTAGAATTCTTTTTTTCAAGTATGCATAATTTCAGGAGCAACCATTGTAATAATTTCAGCTCCTGTAGCAACTGCACTGAATGTGTCTGTAATTGGTGTTAGAGAGCTACTCTTGGGGTGTTATTAGTCCTAACTGATGTGAAGGGCTGTACTTTTCTACACTCAAAAAACTTACCTTAGTTTGAATGTCCTGAGTGGATTTCTTAGTATAGATATATCAAACACATTTGCCATGTAATAGAAGCATTTATTGATCAAAAAATGTGTAAGTCATTATTTTTCCCATGGATGTTTAATGTTCTGGACTGTCTAATGATATACTTAAAGCCTTGAGTGAGCCTTGCCCAATAAATTCATCCTTGAATCATCACTTACTTCATCTTTGCTTTCCCAGACTCAGGGCTACAGTGGATGAGCCAAAGCTCAGTTGTGTTTTATAGGTAATCTTACTGTAAATTTTACTGTATGCTGTTTACTCACTGGGCTTTAGTCAGGTAAGCAATCAGACTGTGTGTGCCAGCTTTTTATTGGAAAGGGCTGGTGAAATGCAATGTCCACATTGTCTCTGTGGAGCTGCTGATCCAGCACAGAGAAGCAAATGCTTTCAGTTGTGTCTTAGAACCAAAGTGTGTGTGTGGAGGAGGGGGATGCCACTGATTATCTTTGTTTTGAGGGGTTTAGAAGAATGAAATAGGTGTGAGGTGCTGATAATTATCTTTATTATAGTTAACAGTTCCAGTTTATACACAGAAGCTTTGGAAGAGACTTTACTATAAAGGATGCTGTAAATGTCATTTTAAGTTTTGATTGTGGAATTCCAGTTTAACTGTTACAGTGAGAAACAACTTAGAGGAAACAGAAGCTGGAATAAATAGGCACCTTAACAATTCTGTAGTTCAATGAGAGAAACCAATGAGCTGCAAATAGGAAATTGTGTATGAGTGTATTGCCTGCATGTATGTGAGTGCACCCGTGTCTTGCATTGCCTCAGAGGTCAGAAGAGGGCTTCAGATTCCCCTGGAACTGGTGTTAAGGACGGTTCCTAGCTGCCATGTGGGTGCTGGAAATGGAACCTGGGTCCTCTGCAAGAGCAGTCAGTGCTCTTAACCTGAGCCATCTCTCCAGCCCCCAAATAGTTCTTTTTATACTGAAGAAAGGTAGGAAAAAGTGCCATCCACAGGTATTTTGATGACTGTCGTGGACAAACTCTTTAAAACTTTCAACATGTTAATTTTCATGGTGATAATTCATCCCTTATATTTTAAACACCTCTTCCAATTTTGATTTCTTGTATGCATGTATATGCAAGTGTGCTTGTGGAGGCCAGAAGTTGACATTGGGTGTTTTCCTCAGTCCCTCTTCACCTTAGTTTTTAGGAGATGTCTCTCACTAAACGTGGAACTCATCCATTCAGCTACATTAGCTGACCAGTGAGCCCCAAGGATCCTTCTGTTTCTGCCTCCCCAGTGCTGGAATTATAGGCACACACTACCCAGCTTGACTTTTATGTGGGTTCTGGGGATCCACACTCAGGTCCTCATACTTGCACAGCAAGCACTTTACCCACTGAGCCATCTCTACAACCCCCAATTTTTGTTTCTTGGTAATGTATAGTTCTTCAATAAAAGCATAATGCTCCCTTTATGATGAAGTCTTTCCATTTCCTAAACATAACTACAACTCAGATTGTGATCTCACTCCTTGGTACAAATTGGGTTTAAACATTTCTAGTTATGGGACATGTAAAACAGACTGAACTTAGGTGTGTGGTATAGTTTTTCCACACTTGAAAAATACTTTATATTAAAAGTAATGAATTGCTAACAGTTTCATGTTTTTGTTAGTGATATCACAAACGATATTTGCTTTAAATAAGACCTGACAATATTTACAAGTGATAGACTCTAAAGCATAGATAGGAAATATTAGTGTGAAAATATGTGTATGCCTGTATTTCTTTTGTTTTGGTGTGTGTGTGGGGGGTCTTGTGGTTTTTTTTTTTTTTTGTCAGAGTCTCATTATGTTCCAGGTTGGCCCTGGAACTCACAGAGATCCCTGCGTCTCTGCTTCATGAGTGCTGGGATTAAAGGCCTTTCTTTCCTGTATTCTTTTCTTTTTAAAAATATTTTATGTGTTTTGCTGCATGTAAGTATTCTATATACATGCAGTGCCTGTGGAAGCCAGAAGAAGGCATCATATCTCTTGGAACTGAAGTTACAGATGGTTGTGAGCTGCCATATGGGTGCTGGGAACTGAACCCAGGTCCTCTGTAAGAGCTGCAAGTGCTCTTAACCACTGAACTATCTCTCTAGCCCATTGACAGTATTTCTTAAGAGCATATATACATATATGCATATATATGCTGTCTATGAGTGAGTGAGGAATTCAGCAGTTAGAAATATATCTATTTTTAAAAATATATACCTGTTTGGGGGCTGGAGAGATGACTCAGCAGTTAAGATCTCTGGTTGCTCTTGCAGTGGACCCAGGTTTGGTTCCCAGCACCCACATGGTAGCAAACAACTGTCTGTAACTCCAGTTCTGGGGGACCTGACACCCTCTTCTGATCTCTTCAGGCATTATTTGACATGGGTGCACTTACATACATGCAGGTGATACATTCATACACATAAAAAGTAAATATAAAATATTTAAAAAGATACCTATTTGATGAAATTTAATATTTTATAGCTGTATAATCAATGTGAAGAGTTATTTTCTGCTAAGAATAATGAAAGCCACTAGAGTAAAAGTTGCATATAATGTTTGAGAGGAAACTTCTCAATGTATAGAGACATTTTTGGAAGATGAATTAAGAAGTAGAGCAATTCTGCACAACAACATATTTATCAACTATTAGATGGCTTCAAACATAGGCGTGGATTAAAAAGCTTAAAGCATAAAAATTAGAGGGCAGTGAAAAGGGAGAGTTGAAAGAGAAGAAAGCACTAGAGTGGTTCCAGCACCTTGTTCCTGCCCTTGCTGGGGTTGGATTCTCAGTGCACACAGCAGTCCTCTGCTGAATACTGGCTGACTCTTCAATAAGAATTATCATACCTGAGATGAATGTCGCCAGATTTGTAAATCCTGTTGAAAAGCAGGAAAATCTAAATTATGTACACTACCCTGTAAAAACAAAACCCTTCACGGCTGATGATAAACGGTAGTTGCTCTTGGCTTGTTTGTAGATGAGATTCTAAAAGCATGATCTGAGATACAGACTATTTAGCTTTTAATTTTCTAGACGGGGCTTACAACCATGATTTGGTAAAGATGCTTTTGTGAAATGTAGTTTAGTCAGTAAAATATATTCAATAGCAGTCACAGATGTACCAGAAAAAAAATACCTGTAATTAGTCAGGCATTGTGGCACACACACCTAAGGCAAGAGGATCATGAGTTCGAAGTTGACCTGGGCTCCATAGTAATACCCTGTCTCAAAATGAAATGGGCTGGAGAGATGGGTTAAGAGCACATGCTGCTCTTGCAGAGGACCTGATTTTGATTCCTAGCACCCATATGGCAGCTTACAACTGTCCATAAGTCTAATTCCAGGGTATCCAATGCCCTCTGGCCTCCACAGGCACCAGGCATACAACATGGTACACACAAATAGATGCAGGCAAAACACTTATACACATAAGTTTTATTAATCATTAGACTAGGTAGTAGTTGAATGAGCAACTGTTTTCTTTTCTGAACTGTTGAGCCTTCCAGTGACCTTGGTTTTTGGTAGAGTGAAGTCCCTTTAAATGCTCCCTAGGTACTTTTGTGGATGTTGTGTCCAGCTCTTTCTGATTTTCCCGATTTCTTCATAGGCCAGAAGCGGATTACCAGAAGAGGGGAGCAGCAAGGATGGAATGACAGCCGGGGGACAGACGTGGCACTAGATAGAGCAGAGCGGAGGTCCTACAGGGAATATCGGCCTTATGACACCGAGAGGCAGGCGGACTTGACAGATGAAAAGTATGCACTCCAATCCTGGTGGCTGGGGTATTATCTGAGGTTTCAGATGACTACTGGGACTTGTGACATTTTTGTGGTGGTAGTCCTGGGAAATTGCAGTTCAATGCATAGACTCACGTTGATAACACTTTTAGTAGTAAAAGCAGATAGCCTCTGAATCCATTTATTACATGGAAAGATGGCTGTAGGGTAATTCATACATATTTAAGTGTACAAGTAGGAGTATATGGATTATGGGGGGTTCATAATAAATTTCAAATTTACAAAGATCACAAGAATTCCCATTGTTAAGGAAAATCAGGCAGCAGAGAAACCAAGCATTTGTCATTTTATTTATCACTAGTGGTCTCAGATGGGCTAATGCTCTGAGGTTCTGGGTCCCAACCCAGTTTAGTTCGTAGGTTTTAGAGAGTTTTACACATCATCCTTCAGCAATCATTTCATTGGTGGTTTCAAGCTATGGATTTACAGCTCAGTTACTTATATGTCATAAAATAGAAGACAATCTCAGGAAATTCTTTTCCTGGTTATGCAGTTAAAAGTTGACGACAAAGGCAGATTTACCGGCAGCTGGTTAAACATTTTTGCAATGGAATTTAGTAAACAGGACAATTGGGAACAGGGGTCCCATCAGATAACTGGTGTTTCTGGTCTCCTGAGCCTCCGTTGTCAGTTCTGCTTCTGCCATCTGTGGTTAAGCATTTACAAGAAAAGCACTGCATGCCAGTCACTATGTCCTAAAACACAGGAATAGAAAATCGGGGAAGAGAAATTGGGTATACAGCCCATGTGGTGAACAATATTAAATACACAGATTATATATTTTTCCTCTTCACCATATATCCTTCATGTAGCATCCCCAGATGTTAACTTTTTACTACATTGCTTTAGAGTTTTCTTTCTCTACACATACGCACTTTAGTGTTTCCTTTGACATTTGAAAGTAGGTTAGGGGAGGTAGCTCAGTCAGGACAGTGCTGTGCAAACATGAGGACCTGAGTTCAGTCCCCAGCACCTACATGAAAAAGCCAGGCACTGTGCTGCATGCCTGTAACTCTAGGACCGAGGTGGTGAAGACAGGTGATCCCTGGGGCTTGTTGGCCAACTAGCCCAGCCTACTCAGTGAGTTCCAGACTAATGAAAGATCTTGTCTCAAAAAATAAGGTGGAGCTGGTGAGATGACTCAACAGGTAAAAGTACCTGCTGCTCAAGCCTGACAACCTGAGTTTGATCCCCTGAACCCACATAAAAGGTGGAAGGAAAAACTCCACAGAATTGTCCTCTTGCCTACACACATACACACACACACACACACACACACACACACACACATCATACACACATTTAATAAACTGAAAATTAAAAAAGAAAACAAATGAAACTGGGTGTGGTGGTGCACACCTTTAATCCCAGCACTTGGGAGGTGGAGGCAGGTGGATCTCTGTGAGTTCAAGGCCAGCCTGGACTACATAGTAAGTTCTAGGCCAGCTGGGGGCTACAGGGAGACCCTGTCTCATAAAGACCAAGAAAAAGCAAACGAGTGGATGACTCCTGAGGAATACCACCTGAGGTTGTCCTCTGGCCTCCACACATGCACCCACGTAAACACACACAAGAAAGATGCACAAATGTGCCTTTATCTTTATGTATTCTACATGTATTTCCTAGAAATATGGTACAGTTATCAAGTTCATTAACACTCATGCAATACTAGTACTGAACCACTCTAAATTTTGTAATCTGTATACTTTGGTCAGATTTCATCAATTGTCCTAATGATGTCCTTTTAGAAAAAGAGACAGCATTTCCAGTTCAGGACCCAGTCTAGGAATGTGTTTTACCTATAATCTTTTCAAATCTGAAGTAGCTCTATTGTAGTTAGCTTTTTATTGCCATCATAAAATCCTGGCCAAAACCAACTAGGGGAGGAAAGGGTTTATTTGAGCTTACATTACAGTCCTTTATCAAAGGAAGCCAGAGATGGAACTCAAGCAGGAACCTGGAGGCAGGAACTGAAGCACAGACCACAGTTTACTGGTATACTCCTCTGGCCTGTGCTCAGCCTGCTTTCTTTACAACCCAGGACCACTGCCCAGGGCTGGCACCACCCACAGTGGGCTGGACCCTCTCACTCACATCACCCAACAATCAAGAAAATGCCCCACAGACATGGCCACACACCAACGCGATAGAGAAAATTTCCCAGTTGAGGTACCTCTTCCCAGCTGTGTTACGTTGACAACCAAAGTCAACCCTGGCAAACTCCTTATCTGCGTCTTTTGTGATAGACATGTTTTAAGAGTGTGAAACATTTTTTTTCAGTATTTCTCATAGTTTCAATTAGACATTTCCTCATGGAAGTGAGTTGTGTACTTTCATAGGAAAACCATGGATGTTGTGTGTCCTCAGCATGTCAGGTAGGGATGTGTGCAGGGAAGTTTTACTTATAAAAGTCCTGTGATGTTATAAAAGTTTTTTTCTTAGTTTTCTTTTCTTTCTTTTTTTTTTTTTTTGAGACAGGGTCTCCCTGTAGCCCCAGCTGTCCTGGAACTCACTATGTAGACCAGGCTGGTAGAACTCACAGAAATCTGCCTGCCTCTGCCTCCCAAGTGCTGGGATTAAAGGCGTGTGCCACCATGCCCAGCCCTTAGTTTTCTTTTAAAATATTCTCCTGATAATGAAAGTTCACAAGACCTTCAATCAAAAATAGTAGTCAATTTAGATAATGTGAAAAAAATTAAATTATTGAGAAAATTAAGGGTAGGCAAGGTATCTCAGTGGGTTAGGGCACCTGCCACCAAGCCTGGGGATCTGAGTTTGATCCCCAGGGTCAACATGGTAGAAAGAGAACCAACTCCCACAATTGTCCTGTGCCCCTCCCTTTTAATCTGTTGATCTACATAGGTGGTACAAAGATAGTGCACATATACTGAGCACTTAAGGCTCTTTCTTCTTGACACAACATGAAGGTTTTTCCCATGTCATCAACAATGCTTGGTCTGCATTTTTAGTGCATGTTAATTACTAATAACAATGGGTTTCATTATGACATTTTCACACTTGGAAGATCTGTATTTCAGTGGCTCTCTGATGACCTTGTATTTGGGTGTGTCATGATGTCATTTGCTTAGCTTTTCAGGGCCTGTCCTCAGCTCGGTCTTATCCTTTATAAATACCTGGGCAGTAGCTTTTGATCTAAGGCAAGGCATTTCCTAGGTGAAATCCTGGAATTAGAATGCCAGTTTGTGTCAGACAGGTGACCTGTATCTGTCTTGGACTTAATTGAAATGTTGAATAGGTGCATGTAGTATGAAAACGACAAAATTGGGACTGGAGGTCCTGGGACTCTTGATCCATAGTCACAAACCACTGTGCCAGTTACCTGTCAGTTTGTCTTATCACTAATTTGTGAGAACATCTCTCTCAGCACTTTCTGCAAACTGGGGTATAAGTCAGGTTGGTTTTTACTTATTTGATGTTAGAATGTCATTCACTTTGCATTTCTTGATACATATTTACTGGATAGGAGTATAGAATCTTGATTGTCTTGAAAAATTATCTGAATTCGGCCCTCTCAACTTACAGACGAAAAACAAAGACCCAGAGTTTGAGTGTCTCTGGTCTTACCCAGTTTGGTTCCTGAGGGACATGTATTTTCCCTCAGAAACAGTGTCATCAGTGGTACAGGATTGACTGAGCTAGGACCAGCTTCAGAGACCAGCCACTCAGGTTGGTGTTAGTGGATCTAGGGGTGCAGATGTTGCTGTCAGCAAAGCTGGAGATTTTCCTTAGGCTCCTAATAAGCTGACTTCAACTCTTTAACTATAGACTATGAAGAAATTAGTGTGCTGGGCCTGGAGAGAGTTAAGAGTGCATGCTGCTTTTCCAGAGGTACTGAGTTTTGTTCCCAGCACCCACATTGGATGGCTATCAACTCGTTGTAACCCCAGCTCCAAGGTGTCTGACATCCTCTTTTGGCTTCCACTGGTACCCACCCCTCTCCCCCACACGCATGGCATTCACTCACACAGACACACACATAAATATAGAAATCATAGTAAAATTTTTTTTTTTTTTTTTTTTTTTGGTCTTTTTGAGATAGGGTCTCCCTGTAGCCCCAGCTGTCCTGGAGCTCACTATGTAGACCAGGCTGGCCTTGAACTCACAGAGATCCGCTTGCCTCTGCCTCCTGAGTGCTGGGATTAAAGGCGTGTGCCACCACGCCCAGCCAAAAAATAAATCATCTTAAAAAAAGGAATTAGTGTGCCTTTGTCAGGATACATTCTGGATCTTCCTCTCTGTAGTTTCCTCCTGGTAATTTGAAGTCAGTACCTATTAGGAAAGAATCACTTACATGTTTAAGAAAGTTCTCTTTAAAAAATGTGGTTAAAGGGGTTGAAGAGATGAATAAGAGCATTTGTTATGCAAGCATGAATCCCTGAGTTCAGATCCCCAGCATCTTCATGTCTATAATCCCAGCACTGGGGGAGAGACAGATGGAACCCCAGGGCTCGCTGGCCAGTCAGTCCAACTGTAATGGCAAGCTTCAGGTGCAGTGAGAAAGCCTGTCTCAAAGAAGTAGGGTACACTTGACATCCTCCCCTGGCCTCCACATGTGTGCACATAGGTGTGTGCAACCCTCACACATGTGCTTCCACCACACAAACATAATACACAGTGTTCTAAAATGAATATACCACAAAACTTACCATTTCAATAATTTTTTAAAAAAAGATTTGTTTTTATTTATCTACCACATGCAAGCAGGCTCTTGAGGAGGCCAGAAGATGGCGTTGGATCCCTTGGAGCTGGACTTACAGGCAGTTATGAGCCACTTCATTTGGGTGCTGGGAGCTGAACTCAGGTTCTCTGGAAGTGCAGCAAGCCCTCCCAGCTGTTGAGCCATCCTGCCCCCATTTTAATCATTTTTACATGTGCTATTCTGGGACATTAAATACAGACACATTGTTGTGCATCCATCTCTGCCTTCCCTCTCCAAAACTTTTCATCTTCCCAGACTGAAGCTGTATACTCCTTAAACACTGAGTTCTCACTCTCCATGAACTTCAGCCTCTGTGCTGTAAAAGTGGTCCTTGTGCCTCCTTATTAGGGTCGTTAGCCAGCTTTCCCTTACTGTCAGAAAATCCCTAAGGTGAACAATTTAAAAGGCGCAACCATTTATTTTGGCTCATAGTTCTGGAAGTTTCAGTCCATGATTGAGTGTTTCTGAGCTTTTAGACCTGTGGGGGGGGTAGCATAGCATGGTGGGTGCATGGTAGAGAAAGACTGTTCACCCTCGCGGCCCAAAGGTAAAAGGAGAGGAAGAAAGAGACCAGGAATCCAGTCCTCTTCCAAGATCTTAAGCCTCCTGGTAGGTTCTGTCTCTTAGTTTCCACCACATCCCTATGTCACTGTGGGCTGGGGACCACACCTTTAATACATGGGCCATCAGGAGACACTAACTGCAGCACTGGGATTATCTCAAGGATTGAGTCACAGGTGCATGAAGCAGGATGCTGGCCCAAGTGCAATCTTCTATTTGCTTATGAGGAAGTCACAGACTTTCTAAGTGGAGTATAGGATTAGTCAGTCTTCAGCAACATTTTTTAAAAGAAGCAAACAGAGTGATGGGATAGCTCCATGGGTAAAGGCGCTTGCCACATAGGCCTGTCAGTTTGAATTTGATCCCTGGAACCACATAAAGGTGAAAAGAGAGAACCAGCTCTGCAAAGTTGTCTTCTGATTTCCACATGCACACCGTGGCAGTCATGCCTGCCCCCAATAGTAATAATAAATTTAAAAGATAAAAAATTACAAAGCTCAGGCCAGGTGTGGTGGTGCACGCCTGCAGTCTCAGCACTTGGGAGGCAGAGGCAGGTGGATCTCTGTGAGTTCAAGGCCAGCCTGGTCTACATAGTGAGTTCCAGGACAGCTGGGGCTACAGGGAGACCCTGTCTCAAAAAGACAAAGAAAGAAAAGCTAGGCATGATTATGAATCCTTATAATCCCAGCACTCAGGAGACTAAGGCATGTGGATCGCACATTTGAAGCCATTCTCCCTACAAAGGGAGACCCTGTCTCAATAGGGAAAAATAAGTGATTATAAAGGAGCAATTGAGACTGTAATTGGACATGGGAAAAGTGTGTGGAATAGAGAAGTGGTTTCAAGGATCATAGTGTACCAGAACACAGCTATTTCTAGGCCTGTCTTTAATCCCTATTGTATTTGAAAATAATGTATTTTGTTGATATGTGATCTAAAGTTCTGTAAATTTGGACCAGATCTTCCCTATGACATTACTTTTTACGTATGTTTTTGCCATTCATTTCCTCTCAATTTTTATTAAGCTTTTAAAAATTTCCCTGTTTAACTTTCTGGGCAAGTGGTTACCCTTTTCTTTTGTTACTGCTTTAGAGCTGTGCATTAGGTATTAACTATAGTTCAAAAATGGTCTTTATAAACAGTCCAATTTTTTTAAACGTGGTTTGATTTGGGAGAAAGAAAAGGCAACTTGGAAAATTATTTAATGTATAAGAGACTGGCATAAAATTAAATATCAGTAGCTCTGTATTCAAATTTTTGAAAAAACTTGTGAGTTTGGTGTCTTCTTACTGATAATAGTATAGTAGTTTTTAGTGCATCTTTTTTTTTTTTTTTTTTGCTGTTTTTTGGACAGGGTCTCCCTGTAGCTCCAGCTGCCTGGAACTCACTCTGTAGACCAGGCTGGCCTCGAACTCACAGAGGATCCGCCTGCCTCTGCCTCCCAAGTGCTGGGATTAAAGGTGTGCGTCACCACACCCAGCTAGTGTATCATTTTTAGCTGTGAAAGTAGACAGGAGTATGACTCTCTAGTGCAGATATTTAAGTTGTTAATGCCACTATATTTCTTGATTCTAGAATCTCTACTAAATAAGTAATTTGTTGTTGCCCTTAAATATTTTTAAAAGCCTTGACAAATGAAAAAAATCTTACTAAACTAGAAAAAAAAATCACAGACCTTTCCTGTGAGAGCTTAGTGATTGGTGGGACTGAAACAAGAGTAATGCTGACCAGAGGCAGGGCAGGAGGGCTGCATGGGAAGTGTGCAGATTGGCTGTGCCCCTGGACCTGGAGTCTGGATGAGGCTGGGGTCCTCTGTCAGCCGGTATGTGACGGGCATGGGAGGAACCATGGGTCAGTGTTGGCCATGTGTCTGACCAGGTTCAGCAGTATACAAGTGGAGATGTCCAGGAGGCAACTGGCTTTGTGGCCTAAAGTGAGAGACTCAAATACCCAGGGTCAAGTAGCATTCTGTAGGGACCAGGAGGCTGCATGTAGGCCAGGAAGTCAGGTATGCCCACATGGATAAGGACAGCTCTGCAGCATATCAAGACATACATGTTCTATGTACAAGAAAAAGACTCACATTTCTGTGGGTTTAACAATAAAATCTCACGACTGGAAAGATGGCTCAGTGGTTAAGAGTGCTTGCTGCTCTAGCACAGGAACCAAGTTTGGTCCCAGCACCCACATCAGGTGGCTCACACTGCCTGTATCTCCAGTTTTAGGTGATCCAAAACCCTCTTCTGGCCTCCAGAGAGGCTATGTTCTTCCTAATATACTATACCATAACCACCTTCTAGGATTTCGTTTTTCTTGAAAAATGTTTTAGGCCTTTCTAATCCATGTCATCACTTATTATACTCATCTTTTCCTAGACCAGCTGAGAGGTTTGATCGAGACAGACCACTAAGAGGACGTGGAGGCCCCAGAGGAGGCCTGAGGAGCAGAGGCCGAGGTGGTCCTGGGAACAGAGCTTTTGACTTCTTTGACCAGCGAGGGAAACGAGATTTTGAAAGATACAGTGGCAATGATAGAGCGTAAGTTTGTGGGTCAGTCCTGCTTCCACTTGGGACTGTTGATGATCTGATAATAGGCAACTTTCTATGAGTGTGCTGTCATTCTTGTAGGAAGCTGATCCTGGGGCAAGATTTTCTTTTTTTAAAGATTTGTTTAAAATTTTTTTATTAATTATATTTTATGTGTATGAGTGTTTTGTCTGCATGTGCGTGAACCTATGTGTGCAATGCCTGAGGAGGCCAGAAGAAGGTATCAGAGCCCCAGGAGCCAGAGTTACAGGCAATCGTGAACTGTTTAGTGTGGGTGCTGGGAACTGAACTCATGTCCTCTGCAAGAGCTAAATGTGCCAGGCCATCTCTCAAATCCCTGGGGCAGTGTTTTCTGACTGGGAAATTGACAAGAAGAGCAGCTTCTGCTTTAAGGGAATATTCTTTCTTTCTTCAGAGCAAACAGACTTGAGGACAGCATGGTTGGCTGTGGTGTTCGCCCCTGGGGATCAGGTAAAGACAGGTAAGTTACGCCTGTGTCCTCTGGGAGTCTGCAGTGGAGTGGGAACCCCTGTGTATTAGCCTTTTTGAAATGGAGTCTCTGGTTGTGCTTTTTGGGTGTTTTGGCTTAGTGAGATAATGTGTGTGTGCGTGTGTGTGTGTGTGCCTGCCTGCCCTTCTCTCTCTCTCTCTCTCTCTCTCTCTCTCTCTCTCTCTCTCTCTCTCTCTGTGTGTGTGTGTGTGTATGTGTACCACTACCTGGGATTGATTGAACCAGGAGATAGCTTTTAAACACATTTGTTATGTTGTATTTCAACTTACAACTGCTTTTAAAGGTCTATTTTATTTTATTTTTACAGCTAAATGATCCACATTTATGCTGACATCATTAAGTATATGGCCTGGTACATTTGCACGTCTCAGAATGCTCTTTATTTTTAATTTTATTCATTTGTATTTTTTTTTGTGTGTGTGTATGAGTGTTTTGCTTGCATGTATTAAGTGTGCCACGTGGATACGGTGTCCACAGAGGCTAGAAGAGGGCATCAGATCTCCTGAAACTGGAATTATAGATAGCTGTTAGCCACGCTGTAGGTGTTGAGAATTGAACATAGGTCCTCTGCAAGAACAGCCAGTGCTCTTCACCACTGAACCATCTTTCCAGCTTTTACTTTTTGTCTTATTTTTGAGACATGGTCTTACTATATAGCTCAGGCTCTCCTTGACCTCATGAATCCTCCTGTCTCAGCCTCCCAAGTGCTGGGATTATAGCCACATGCATCACACCTAACCTATAGTTTATTTTCCTTTTTTCTGTGACTCCCAAGTTCTTATAGATCCTGACTTTTTGAAGTCTTTGAGCCTGGGGATGTTGCTCAGTTGATGGGAGTATTTGTCTAGTATGCATGAAGCTCTGGGTTTGATCCCCAGCACTGCATACACTGGGAATGGTGGCCTGAACTGTAATCCATGGCAGGAGGATCAGAAATTCAAGGTTATCCTTGACAATATACTGAGTTCAAGGCCACCCTAGTATACATGAAACTTTGTTTCAAACAAACAAACAAACAAACAAGTCATTTGCAAACTGACACTCAATAACAAGTTTCACCTGAAGCTCCTACTGGACATTTCTCTGAGACTTGGCTTCTTGGTGCCTCACCAGTTTTGGTATGTAGAGAAGGTGCTTGGTTCTTCTCAGTTTCTGTCATTGCTCAGCTGCAGGAGTGATGTCTTCTAGCATCAGCAGAAGGAGAGCTAGGATGTACTGCAGAGCAGGTGATGGTGTGGACCCAATTTTCCACACAGTTGAAGGCTCAAGGGGATCAGAGCTTTCACCTTTCTTTTGAAGAATATAAACTGTTTAAAAAATTATTTTTATTTTTTTTAATGTGTGTATGAGTGTATTGCCTGCATGTATATGAAGTGCACCTGTGTCGTGCAATGCCCGTGAAGGTCAAAAGAGGCTGTCAGGTCCCCTAGAACTGGAGTTATAAATGGTCATTAACCATCACGTGGGTGCTGGGAATCAAACCCAGGTCCTCTTCAAGAGCAGTCTGTGCTCTTAACCTATGAACCATCTCTCTAGCCCCCCCCCCCCAAAGAATATAAGCTTTTTACAGTAACTTATTTTCCTTAAATTACTGCCCTAAAAGACAGATGTACAAAATAACACCAACTGTAATGTTAGTTTGCTGCTGTTGCTTCCTTTGCTGACTTCAAAGAGAAAGAGAAACTTGTCAAGTGGTTCTCAGCCTGGAATGCCATAGGATCTCAATGGCAAATCTTTTGATTTTGTTTTATTTTACTTTCTTTATCCCTCCCTCTTTCTTTTCTTCCCCCCATATACACTTACAAATATACAATACAAGCAACTTCTAAGTCATGATTTACCAACTTATCTAATAACTACCTTAAAGTCACTTGGGCCAACCTGGTCTCCTTACTTGAAGTTGCCAGATGTGCTCCTGGAGGACTGGCAGGCCAATATCAAAGTGCTCCAATTAATTCGGACTGATTTGTGGTAATAATTTACATGATAATTTGTAGCTAAAAGACTTTCTTAAACTAAGATCAGTTTCAATTCTTAGAAGATAGAGCTAGTCACCTTGACATGAAGGCCATGTAGCATGGCTGTAGGTATGTGCCATGATGACTGGGAAAAGTGGAGGTTTTTCAGTGCGGTAAGTGATGTGCTAGTGGATGGCAAAGGCTGGTGCTCATTGTACATTAGGAGGATTTTCCTGTAGTTGAGTGTCCATACTTGAAAACACTGGCAGCAATAATTAGAATTGAGGACAAAATGTTTTCAAGCTGTTATGACTGAGCTATTTCCAGCAGTATCAAATTTCTTCAATAGTTTGATAGTGTCTATGATGAATTAGAATAGTTTTTCTCATTTGCAGTGGTTTAAAAAGTACAGTCAGCCAAGCATAGAAGTGCACACCTTTAATCCCAGCACTTGGGAGACAGAGGCAGGTGGATCTCTATGAGATGGAGGCCAGTCTGGTCTAGATAGTGAGTTCAAGGCCAACTGGGGCTACAAGGAGACCCTGTAACCAATATTTTGTTAACAGTTGTAGGAGACTCCCATATATGCAGTTTTCAGGAATGTTGCATTACAATTTTATTGTGAAGAACACGACAGTTCTGTGTTGTTATCAACTAATGTTGAATGGAATCTGTTTGCTTTAGAGTGAAGCCAGACAAAATTTGAGCAGTCACAAAGCCTTGCAGTGCTAGTGCTCAATGTTGTTTTGTGGAGCACAGTTGTACCAACAGCACTTTCTGCACAGATGTAACTGAAGTCAGTTAAACATAGGCCCTGGCCTGGAGATTCATCTTCTGATGAATCTAATGTTGGATATTTACTCTGAGCAAAAGGACATCTGCTGGAATGAATTGTTGATTTTGGAACTTGTCTTGATCACAGACTAATGTGTAGTTGTTCACAAAGTAATTCAGATCAACACAAAGGGAGGATTTATCATTTCTTTTCCATAAAATCAATCACTATTAATCCCAGCACTTGGGAGGCAGAGGCAGGTGGATCTCTGTGAGTTCATGGCCAGCCTGGTCTACATAGTGGGTTCCAGGACAACTGGGGCTACAGGGAGACCCTGTCTCAAAAAGACCAAAAAAGAAAAAAAAATCAATCACTGAAGTTAAAAAGTACTACCCTTTTTGTGTTCCACCATTTTTTCTCCTTTTTATCTTTTTTTTTTTGAAAAAAGATACGGTATTGAAGCAATGGCTCAGTGGTTAAGAGCACTGGCAGTTCTTGCAGAGGACCTGGGTTTGATTCCTAGCACCTACATGGTGGCTAACAACCATCTGTAACTCCAGTTCCAAGGGATTCGATGCCTTCTTCTGACCTCCATGAGCATTGCATGACACAGGTGCATTTACACATATGCAGGCAATACATTCATATACATAAAATAAAAATAAAATTTTTTTTCTTGGTCTTTTTGAGACAGGGTCTCTCTGTGGCCCCAGCTGTCCTAGAACTATGTAGACCAGGCTGGCCTTGAACTCACAGAGATCTGCCTGCCTCTGCCTCCCAAGTGCTGGGACTAAAGGCGTGTGCCACCACTCTCAGCTTCTTTTTTTGGTCCTTTTGAGACAGGGTCTCCCTGTAGCCCTAGCTGGCCTGCATTTGCTATGTAAATGTAAACCAGACTGGCCTTGAACTCACAGAGATCCACCTGCCTCTCTGCCTCCCAAGTGCTGGGATTAAAGGCCTGCACCACCACGTCCAGCCTGCATGGGTACTTTTATGTTAGGTTCTTATTTATTTTTATTCTTTGAGGTATTTTTTTTTAGTAGATGCTAACAAACTTTGTGTTGAAAAATAAGACAAGAAACAAGTGTTTTTTTTTAATTGACTATAATTGCTTCAATATAAAAATAAAAATTAGGGGGCTGGAGAGATGGCTTAGCAGTTAAGAGCACTGACTGCTCTTGCAGAGGATCTGGCACCTATATAGTGGCTAACAACTGTCTGTAACTCCAGGTCCAGGGGATCCAGTGCCCTCAAATGGCCCCTGCAAGAATTGCAGGCATGTGATGCACTTAACATACATGCAGGCAAAACACTCAACATATAAAATAAAAATAAATAAAAAAATTTTAAGAATTTAAATTGAGAAGATTGCCAAAATTCATCTTGTGTGTACTTAAAACTTATTTTTAAAGTCTTCATTGAAACGTTTTCCTAACCGAGGATTTAAAAGTACTAGATTGTGTGATATAGTCTGTAAAATGCTGGGTGTATTGACTGTTTTATCATCAGTTTCCTGAAATTCTGTAGCTGAGAATATATTTTTAAAATATTTTATTACTTTGTGTGTATGAGTGTATTTCCTGCATGTGTGTAAGTACACCCATGTTGTGCAGTGCCCATGGAGGTCAGAAGAAGGCATCAAATCCCCTGGAACTGGAGTTACAGATGGTTGTTAACCACCATGTGGGTGCTGGGAATTGAACCTGGATCCTCTACAAGAGCAGTCAGTGCCCTTAACTGCTGAGCCATCTCTCCAGCCCCAACTGGAAATATTTTTTTTACTATTTTATTTTTATTTTTATGTGTATGAATGTATTGCCTGCATATATGTAAGTGCATCCATGTTGTGCAGTGCCTGGGGAAATCAAAAGAGGGTGTCGGATCCCCTGGAGCTGAAGTTAACAGTTGTTAGCCACTATGTGAGTGCTGGGATTCGAATTGGGGTCCTCTGCAAGAGCAGCCAGTGCTCTTAACCAGTGAGCCATCTCTCCAGCCCAAGAATCTTTTTTAAAATGTCAGGTTCAGATAGGATTAAAGGGAAAAATTCACAATTTGGGGAATTAAAATTCAAATTATTTTTCCTGATGTCATTTCTGGTGTGGAGATTGTACATTCAGATGTTCTGTATAGTTGATATTGATATTCTGTGTAGATGTTCAGATCAGTTTTGCAGCCTTATTATCTCTGTTCACTTGTCATCATGCCTGTTCATCTTCATGGGATCTGCTTTCCCTTTTTTTTGCCATTCTCTGGAGGTTGATATGGCATAGGCTTATTTTTAACAAGTCATTCAACACTTATAGTTGGAGAATATGTGTAACTTTTTAAACATTGGAATTCCTGGAGCTGGAGAGATGGCTCAGTGGTTAAGAGCACTGGCTGCTGTTGCAGAGAGGACCAGGGTTTGGTTCCCAGCACCCTCATGGGCTAACAACCATCTGTCACTCCAGTTCCAGGGGAGTGACTGGCCAGGTCCTCTTCTGGCCTCTGTAGGCACTGCATGAACATGATACACATACATGCATGCAAGTATAATGCTCATGCATACAAAATAGAAATAAAATTTTAAAATTAAGCTGTGTCCTAAACTGTCTGTCAGCCTTAATTATATAACAGTTTTGATGAACATGACCAGAACTTCTTGCTGCTTTTCAGTGACACAGAGCCAACTGCACCCATGGAAGAGACCTTGGTGATGGAGGAGTCTCAGGGCGCCCTGGATGAGGATTCAGCCAAGTAGGGAGTTTCATTAATTTTTTTCATTGGGTTATCTGCCTATGTCTGTCTTTCTGTCTGCCTCTTCCCCCCCCATCTCCTTTCTTTCTGAAGATTGGACATCATGTTAATTGAGCACAAAGTCCCTTGTATGTGTTATGGTTTGTGTCATGTGTGATGTTTGTGTGTTGAGTATGTGCACATGAATGTGCAGTGTGTGCATGCATGTGGAGGCCAGAGCAGAATGCCAGGTATCTTCCTCTGTCATTCTGTGCCTTATTGCCTTGAGACTGAACAAATGAGATCCCTCAGCTATACTAGCTGGCCAATGAGCTTTCAGGATCCACCTGTCTGTCCCCCAGTGCTGAGGTTTATAGGCACACACAGCCTTGTCTAGCTTTTTATATGGGTGTTGGGAATTCAGATGTGAGCTCTCATGCTTGTAGAGCAAGTGCTCTTAACCCACTGAGCCATCTCCCCTCGTCTATCTTAATGATTTCTAAAAGCTCAGTGTCAGAGGTTTATCTTGTTAATGTATTAATGGATAATGATCAAACTAGTTAATTTAAGTAATCTGAGGGATAGTTTTTAATGATAGTAAGTCAAATTCAAGTATTCTGTTTACTGTCTGTTACCTCTTCCCCATCAGAAGCTTGTTCATGTGTCTGTGGCGGGTTTCACTCTTGCCCCCTTTTCTCCCTAGGTCCATCTCATCTCTTCCTCGTGGGTCTTTGGTCCATCCCTCGTATACTTGAGCTTTAAGCCTCCTTGCCCTATGGACAGTTTGTTGTATCTTGCTAGCAAATCCTCTTCCTGGATAATTTCTCCCGTCTCTCTGTCTGAACCCAAGGCTGAGCATTGCAAGTCATGTGGTGGGGGGCAGTTGGAACCTTTGTGAAGGGTTTTTAAAAAAAATTTTATTACTGTGTATGTGTGTCTGTGCATGATATGTTTATGGATGGGCATGTGTGCCATGACATGTATGTGGAGGTCAGAGGACAACTTAGTCAGTTCTCTTCTTCCACCCTTATGTGGGTTCCAGGGATCAAACTCAGGTCTGCAGGCTTTGTGCACCTAGTACCTTTACCTGATGAGCCACCTCACTGGTCACGCTCTAAAATCTTGATCGCCATTTTTCTGAAATGAACAGTCATCACTGCAGCAATCCCTGTTTCATGGATTCATCAAAACCCTGACACTGTACCCCTGTTGTCCCCACACCTCAGAGAAATCTAGAGCCTCAGATGACAAGTTCACCATTGGTCTTACATTCTCCGAGCATAATCAGTCCACGGCACTTACCTCCTTGCCCCGCTTCTTCAGGCCATCTCTCCTCACACCTCTTCAGGCTTCAGGTCTTTTTCCCACTGACTACCTTGGATCCTTGTAAGAAATAAATCTTTATGTTCCATTTTCAGCATGAGATGGTGCACTTAGAGCTAACCAAGGAGTCACAGATAAGCAAGGAAGTGCTAGGCCCCTTTGTCCCAGCTGGTGGCTGGTGCCTGCTTGTCTCAGAACTCTGAGGGTTGAAAATTTATGAGCAGTCTGGTAAATGACTGAGCCCGTGATTAGAAAAGGAGGCAGTCTCAAGCCCCAGGATATTCATTAAATAAGGCTTTGCTTCCTGAACCAATAAGGTGGGGGATTTGGGACAGGGACTATGCTAGAGGAGCGTAAAGACTGTCACTGGCTGGAGTATCATTCTGTGGGACAGGCACCACCACCAAATGGGCCCCCCAGCCATTTTGCCTTTTTCCCTAGGCTGGCTTCCTGTTCTGCAGAATGGAGGATTAAAATCTCTTTCACTTTTGCTAGTCTCTTGAATTTGTTTCAGAGAGTGAGGGGTCTTGTTTCTCATACCTCAGACTGTCAGGGGTTCCTTTCTTCTTTGGGATGCTCATCTCCCTCCCAACTCCAGCCTGGGCAACTCTTAGATGCAGGATCCTTCCTACTGTTGTCTCCTCTTGGCCCTGCACTCTCTTTAGCTCTTCCCCAGCATGTCTTCATCCCCCTCACTTGTTCCTTACTCCACTCCAGACCTGCCTCCTGTCCTCACTGCCTTCTGAGCACTTGCTACTTGTCTCCAGGTTGAAGCTGCTTCAGTTTGGGTCTGTGCTGGGTCCTTAAGCTCACCCGTGTTCCCTGGCTTCCTGTGCTCTGGTTTCCCTTTGGTCTTACAACGTCTCCTTTGCAGGCTCCTTCGGGTTTTGCTTCAGGCCTCCTTTCTATCTAGAGTTGATATGGGATCTTAGGTACTTGTGTCTTATTGTCATGTATGAATTTACAGCAAAGTAGAGATCTGTGGCTTTATCTTTCAATGTGGGCTGTAGATCTTGAGTCTGTCTGTCTCCTGGACACCTTCCCCAGCATCCCCATTACTATTCATGCTCAGCGTGCCCAATTCTGAACTACTTGCTTCCTCACAAACCGCTGGGCCTCATCAGGGGTCTCTTGCCCCAAATAGAACCCCAGAAGTCTTCCTTGGAAGTCCCCTCTTCTCAGTCCTCCCTCCCCTGAAATCCAGGCCTTCAGTCTGCCCCCAACTGTCATCAGCATGGCCTGAGCTCCTGTCCTCTGACTGTCACTGTAGCTGCTGCTCCTGACAGGGCCCCTGCACTCTCATGTTCTGCACCAGAGTGGCTTTCATACTGGCATTCCAATTGTCATGTTTCTCCTCCGTTTAAGGTCCTCCCCCAACCCCCAGCGATTTCCTGTCTTTTCTGACCTTGTCCTGACCTGCACTGTTCTACACGGTGTGGCCCCTGCAGACCCTCAAGTTTGACCACTTGTGCTATCCCTGTGGTTATTTTGTAGTCCCTCCTTCATATTCTGAATGGACTTTTCTTCTCACCCCTGGCTTTCAGGAGCCCTGCTTCCCTGTATCCCTGCATTTTTTCCTCTTTCACCCTTCAGCTGCCAGAATGAGGGGTCTAGACCCTAAGGGCTGACTGAGCCAATATGGTGTGTACCAATACTAGTTCTGTGATTACTAGCTTGGTCAGGTTATTTAATCTCCCTGCTTTAATGTCTTCATCTATAAAATGGGAGCAGTAAGGTGCCAGCATCATTCAGTCATAAGGATTGTGTTGCGTACACTTGTGTGTGAAGAGAGGGAAGGGAGAGACCTAGAGTGGGGCTTGGAGTATGCTTAGTGCTATGTAAATATTTGATGGTGTCATGACAACTTACCACAAGAGTGACAATCTCTGTGATTGACAATGTGAAAGCTGTGAATTTACTACTCAGAACAACCAAGCAATGTGTTAAAAAATAGGATTCATAGTTAATATGAAAGATTAGGCAGTGAGTTAACTAAAGAAATGGATACACAATTTGTGTTAGGAAAATAATTAAGTAGGTATCTTCAGGAAAACATATTCTTTTGATGTAATAAACGTATGCATTTAAGTGATAAAAGATAGGATAACAGCAAATTTTAGCATGGAAAGAATGAAGATACTATAGCATTCCCAGTATTAGACAACCTAATTGTTTTTTCCTGAAAGAGACTGATGTTCCATGAGTCTGAGCAGGGCTGGCCCACACCTCTGCATAGACCCAAGGCTGAATGTGAACAGTGCTCAGGATGGCAGGTGCTATCCAGCAGAGCTGCCACCATTGGCCAGTGTTGAGAAATTGTTCTCTGCACTGCCTTGTCAGATTCTAAAACCACCAAAGTCTCTAAGAGTGGCAGTATAATGTTTAGATAGTTTGGAAATTCATCCTTCAGATGACCTTGTATGGAACACGTCCTGTACCATCAGGACTTCCTAGAACATCCATGATCAGGAACATGAGCCACAGCTCCTTTTCTTCCTTAAACACAAAAAATACTTTATGAAAGGGGAATGGTGGTGGTGGGGTGTGCTAATGCAGAATGTGTTGTAATTTGTTTCTTGTGGTGTTACCACACCAACATTAATTACCTAAACAAATAAAAAACCTAGCTCTTAAATGTATTTATTTATTTTTATTTTTTTGGTCTTTTTGAGACAGGGTCTCCCTGTAGCCCCAGCTGTCCTGGAACTCACTATGTAGACCAGGCTGGCCTTGAACTCACAGAGATCCACCTGCCTCTGCCTCCCCAGTGCTGGGATTAAAGGCATGCGCTACCAAGCCCGGCAAATGCGGTTTTTTAAAAAAATATTTTATTTATTTTTATTTTATGTGTATGAGTATATTGCCTGCATGTAGGTAAGTGCACCTGTGTTGTACAATGCCCGAGGAGGACACAGGAGACTGTGGGATCCTCTGGAACTGGAGTTACAGACAGTTGTTAGCTGCCATGTGGGTGCTGGGATTTGAACCTGGGTCTTCTGCAAGAACAGTCAGTGTTCTTAACCACTGAGCCATCTCTCCAGCCCCCTAAATGTAGTTTTTAACAGTGAGTGGGAACTTGGAGGACACTCATTCGTCTAGATTCTCTTGGAAATGTCTGTCTCCTGGAATTGGCTTGTTGGAACTCTGTCCCAGGCCCTGCCCCTCCCATAATTTTATTCAAAATGGTTTCTCCAGCTTCAATTGGGGAAGTACAAGCTTGTTTCCGCCCTCATCTGAACAGACCATCCAGCCTTTTTAGCCATAGTTTTAAAATATCTCTTTCATTCAAGGCCAATCATCCTTCCCAACCTCCACTATGTCAAGGGGAGATGGGAATCCACCATCTAGCACTTTGATATGTTAATTCTCAAGTGTACCCGCATTCATTCATTCATTAACTCATTCATTCAATCTTTTTGGGTGGAATATCAAATTGATGTTGCCTAGGAAACAATATCAAGTGCCAAGGTCACAATACACAAGAGCATGTGGTTTTTCTGGAGTTAATTAAAAGTCGTTAGTCCAGATTATGTCTGTTAATAAAAGTCATTCCCACAATTTCTAAGTATATGTACTTAAACTGAAGACTTTTGAGAGCTGGATTTTTTTACATGGCAGGTTCAGGCATTTTATATTAGGGCCACTTTCTTTGATTGATGTGTTTCTTGATATATTCAGGTGAGAAGGCATGCTTGGTG